GGCATGGGTGCACGTGTGCTCTATGATTAACAGAATGGTGCTCCTAACGCAACCCATGCCGCGCCAGGGATCTGAGAGAAACTGCCTTCAGGGGACCTTTTGCTGGCACTTACCCATACTTAGAAGGGCGGGGCATGTGTGATAGAGGCAGTATTGCCACTGATGTTATTTATTTTTCAACAGCGAGAACTTTCAAAGGCTTCCAAATCTGATGCTACTCCTGGAATCCTCAATTCAACCAACATCCAGTCCTGAGAAGCCCTGAGCCGTCAACCAGCTGTGGCTTCCTGTGCCTAGACTGGACCTCATTTTATCAGGGAGGCTTTAGTTTTTCTTGAGCCTAGGTGTGCTCAAAACCCTAGCCTTGGACAGGCTCCGTGACCATGGGCCTATTTAGAGATGTAATGAGTGTTACAGATGAAAATCCACCACAGGTTTAGTGGTCCTATGAGACTTAGTTTTAAAAGTTTATGGCAGAAAGTGCAAATTTTAGCATATGGGGCCTGACTTCTTCTCTACCATATATTCTACTTCCTGAAGTGTGATCAAAAGCTTGTTTTATTTCAACACTGTGTAGGAAAATTATTAACTGTGCCCATCCCTAAGGTAATTTTGGCTTGAGTACTTGTAATCAGTAATTAACATCTTTTTTGTTTAGGGATGTTCAATTAATGCTTTAGCTGTCAGCTTTGCTCTCACCTGAAGGCTTGTCCCCACCACACACGACAGCCTTCCTCCTGATGAGAATGGCTGTGTGTGTCCCAAGTTGAGATGACCTGCCCTACTACTGCCAAAGAGGTGACAGGAAGGTGAGCGCTGCTTTGTTAGATTGTGTTCAGTTCTGTTGCGGAGTGCAATGCCCTTTGTTGGCGGTATGTATGTATGAACACACATGCTCGTTGGAACTCTTTGGCATTTGTCCCTGGCTCCAGTCTCCCCATTTCCAGGCCTGCTATGCCTGAGTTGTTCTACCCCTGCAGTTGCCAGCCACGTCGGGAGGCTGTTTGTTCTGATGGGTTGGGTTATCTTTGTCATGGAGATCTGGAACTATGCACATGTCACTACAAGGGAGTTGTTTTTACTCTAGCATCTGCAGTGAGGTGCCCTCATTACCGACCCTCTCGATCACTACTCTTCCTCAAGCACTATTATTTATTCTTCCTCTGTCTGCCTGAACCAGTACTACATAGTGTAAATGGTTCTCAAAAGCTTACCGGTGTAGACTTGGTCTGTCACAGCCATGTTGGTTACTCATATATGTATGTGTCCTGTTTTTAAAATATAAAATTATTCTTAAAAATAAATTGTAACTGTAGAGATTTTAATTTCAAAAAGATAGTATGGTGTTTCCTTTTTTTTCCCAGTCACTTTTTGGTCTGTATGTGAAAACCAGAAACAGAAAAGACTAAAAAGGGCTGGGCGTGGTGGCTCAACCTGTAATCCCAGCACTTTGGGAGGCCGAGGCGGGTGGATCACGAGGTTAAGATATCGAGACCATCCTGGTCAACATGGTGAAACCCCCGTCTCTACTAAAAATACAAAAAATTAGCTGGGCATGGTGGCACATGCCTGTAATCCCAGCTACTCAGGAGGCTGAGGCAGGAGAATTGCCTGAGCCCAGAAGGCGGAGGCTGCGGTGAGCCGAGATTGCGCCATTGCACTCCAGCCTGGGTAACAAGAGTGAAACTCCGTCTCAAAAAAAAGGACTAAAAGGATCTCCTAGAAATTTTTAGTCACGAGTGTCAATTTTTTTGAATCTCACTGTCGCCCAGACTGGAGGTGCAGTGACACTATCTATCTTGGCTCACTGCAACCTCCACTTCCCAGGTTCAAGTGATTCTCCTGCCTCAGCTTGTGGAGTTGCTGGGATTACAGGTGCCCACCACCATGACTCCTGGCTAATTTTTGTGTTTTTAGTAGAGATGGGGTTTCCCATGTTGGCCGGGCTGGTCTTGAATTCCTGACATCAGGCAATCTGCTCGCCTTGGCCTCCCAAACTGCTGGGATGACACAAGTAAGCCACTGCACCCAGCCAAGTGTGACTTTTTAAAATCTTTTCTGGTACGTTCCTAAATTAAAAATAGCTTATTCACAGAAGTTTCTGTGGGAAATAAAAAAATCTAACCCCTAATGTGTAAAGAGCAGAGGGAGTCCTAGGAAGCTTCTGGCTTCAGTGCCTGTTGTCTCAATGGGGGAGTCAACAGTGGTACTGAGGGAGGATGGACAAACTGTACGCCTGTGAAGGTTACAACAGAAAAACCACCACCACCGTCAAGTCACCAAGCATCTCCATCCCAGAAGTTTCCTCCCGGTCGTTTCTTATTCCTCCTGCCCAGCCGCGCCCTGCCCAGCAATCACTGACTTCTTGCTGTTACTACAGATGAGTTTGCATTTCCTACAGTTTTATGTAAGTGGAATCACACAGCATATTCTGTTTTTGGTCTCGGTCTTTCACTACTTTGAGGTTGACCCATACTGTTTCTTATATCCACAGTTGTTTTTTTTTTTTTTTTTTTGCTTAGTATTCCATGGTGTAGATACACCATTTTTTTTTCATCTATGAGATTTTTCACATTTGGCTTTCCTCCAGTTTTTGGCTATTAAAAACAAGGCTGCTAGACATATTCATATACAGGTCTTTGTATGTATATATATTTTTCTTCTGGATAAATACCTCTGAGTTAAACTGCTGGATCACATCTATGGTAGGTATAGAGTTAACTTTTTAAAAAACGCCAAGCTGGGCCAGGTCCGGTGGCTCACACCTGTCATCTGAGCACTTTGAGAGGCTGAGGTGGGAAGACCACCAGGTCAGGAGTACGAGACCAGCCTGGCCAACATGGTGAAACCCTGTCTCTCCTAAAAATACAAAAGTTAGCTGGGCATAGTGGCATGTGCCTGTAATCCCAGCTATTCAGGAGGCTGAAACAGAACTGCCTGAACTCAGGAGGAGGTTGCAGTGAGCCGAGATTATGCTATTGCACTCCAGCCTGAGTGACAGAGTGAGACTCCATCTCAAAAAAAAAGCCAAACTGTTTTCCAAAGCAGTACCATTTCACACTCCTAGCAGTAATGTATGAAGGTTTTGGTTTCTCCACATCTTCACCAACAGCTGGTACGTTCAGCCTTCATATAATTCTAGTTACTCTGTGTATGAAGTGGTGTCTCACTGGTTTTCATTTACAACTCCCTAACGCCCAATGACATAGGCTATCTTTTCATATGCTTAGTTGCCATCCTTCTGTCGTCTTTGTTAACTTTTGCCCATTTTAAAAAGTGGTGGGCCGGGTGCAGTGGCTCAAGCCTGTAATCTCAGCACTTTGGGAGGCCGAGGCGGGTGGATCATGAGGTCAAGAGATCGAGACCATCCTGGTCAACATGGTGAAACCCCGTCTCTACTAAAAATACAAAAAATTAGCTGGGCGTGGTGGCACGTGCCTGTAATCCCAGCTACTCAGGAGGCTGAGGCAGGAGAATTGCCTGAACCCAGGAGGCGGAGTTTGCGGTGAGCCAGGACCACGCCATTGCACTCCAGCCTGGGTAACAAGAGCAAAACTCCATCTCAAAAAAAAAAAAAAAAAAAAAAAAAAAACGTGGCTTGGCCGGGCATGATGGCTCATGCCTATACTCCTGGTACTTTGGGAGGCTAAGTCGAGTGGATCGCTTGAGCCCAGGAGTTCAAGACTAGCCTGGGCAACATGACACAACCCCATCTCTACTAAAAATACAAAAATTAGCCAGCAGTGGTGACATGTGCCTGTAGTCCCAGCTACTCGGGACGATCACTTGAACCCAGGAGGCAGAGGGTGCAGTGAGCCAGGATCACACGTGTACTCCAGCCTGGGCAACAGAGAGACCCTGTCCAAAAAAAAAATCCTACAATGAAATAGCACTTCACATCCATTAGGATGGCTATTAACCAAAAAACAAAACAAGTGTTGACATGGATGTGGAGAAATTAGGATCTGTGTGCACTTCTAGTGGGAATGTAAAATCAGGCAGCCTCTGCGGAAAACAGTAGGGCAGTTCCTCAAAAAATTAAACGGAATTACCAAACAACCAAGCAGTTCTGGGTATATATCCAAAAGAACGGAAGCAGAGAATCAGTTGTACACCCATGTTCACAGCAGCACTATTCACAGTAGCGCTACTCACCTATCCACCAATGCGCAGGTAGATGAATACAACGGGGTGCATACATTTCATAGAATTGTAGCCTTTAAAAGGCAGGAAGTCCAGATACATAAGGTACATTATGGAGGAACTTGGAGGACATGCTGCTAGGTGAAATAAGCCAGTCATGAAAATACAAATACTCTGGGATTCCACTTACATAAAGCATGTAGGGTAGTCAGAGTCACAGAAACAGAAGGTAGGATGGTGGCTGCCAGGGGCTGGGAAGGGGAGTGGGGAGTTCAGTGTTTAATGTGCAGTTTCACCATGGGATGAAAAAGTTATTCAAACGCATAGGGGTGACGGCTACACAACCGGAATGGATACGTCACTCAACCCTATCCTTAAAAATGGTTAAAATAATTTTTGTTTTTATTGAACATAAATTTTATGTTCAGTATATTTTACAATAAAAAAAAAGCTTAAAGACCCCATGGGTGGGAAATATTTCCTAAACCACACACAGATGCACAAATGTAAATTAAGCATAAAGAATTAACATTTTAGAGCCGGGCGCGGTGGCTCAAGCCTGTAATCCCAGCACTTTGGGAGGCTGAGGCGGGTGGATCACGAGGTCGAGAGATCGAGACCATCCTGGTCAACATGGTGAAACCCCGTCTCTACTAAAGATACAAAAAAAAAATTAGCTGGGCATGGTGGCGTGTGCCTGTAATCCCAGCTACTCAGGAGGCTGAGGCAGGAGAATTGCCTGAACCCAGGAGGCGGAGGTTGCGGTGAGCCGAGATCGCGCCATTGCACTCCAGCCTGGGTAACAAGAGCGAAACTCCGTCTCAAAAAAAAAAAAAAAAAAAAAAAAAAAAAAAGAATTAACATTTTATCAAAATAAGCTGACATTTGTAAAGCACTTTGAGCCTTACCTGGCATGGAGCAAAAACCATCTAAGTATTAAATCAAAATTGGTAATACCCAGAGAGACCGAAACAACAAACTACATGGTAGCAGAAGATATTCTGAATACTAACCATCAAAAGACTGTATCTGAAATGTACAAAAGAAAAGTCACCAAGAAAAGGCCAGCAAACCTGAACAGGCGCTTCATAACGGAAAACTCCAGTGGCCGACCAACAGATGACCTCAGCCTCAAGCAATCCACGCTAGCCTCCCAAACTGCTGGGACTACAGGTGTCAACCACCAGGACCCGCCACCCAATACACAAATGAAAAGCTACTCAACCTCATCAGTATTCAGGGAAATGCAAATTAAAATCAACGCGCATCTACCTGACACAGTCAACCCCACACTGCTGGTGGGAAACAGTTACCTAGTGAAATTAAAGGCATCTCTTGGCTTAGCAATTTAACTCAATGTTCTGCAGAGGAACGTGCGCACATGTGTGCAACACTGCTCCAAGTATCACGTGGAATGACCAAAATCAGAAACGATAAAGATGACATCGGCAAGACTGTATCACTTCAGGTATATTGATACAACGGAACACCATACAGCATTAAAAATGAATGAACTCCAGGACCCAACAAGGATCGGTCACGCAATGCTGAGTGACAAAAATGACACAAAAGCACATATACAGGACGATTCCATTTACCTAACACTCAAAGGCAAACACCTATGTTGAATAAAAATGCATACAAGGATGGCAAAATTCAAACGAAAACCGGGAAGGGACTGAAAAGGAAGATGACCTGGAACGTGCATACAAGGATGGCAAAATTCAAACGAAAACCGGGAAGGGACTGAAAAGGAAGATGACCTGGAACGTGCTCCGATCTCAGCTACACATCAAATTTCCCTGGGTGAGGTGGGCGGAGCTTGGATTCTATCACTATCTAGGCCACACCCCAGAGGCTCTGCTTTCACTGTCCCAATGCTGACTTGGGCAGCAGAGTTTTCAATGCTCTCCAGCTGTTTCTAAAGCAGACAAGTTTAGGACCCTGCTTGAAGGTGAAAGGGAAGACTGTGATGGAGAGAGGCAAACACAGGGCCCTTGGGGTGCAGACAATAGCTTTCCTTGACAAAGATAGGCGTTTCACAGGTGTTTTACATACACATACGCAGGTCAGCTCTTCCCTTTCTCCGCAGCATACACGTAGGTGTTCCAGGGCCCACAGGTGATGGCCTTTACTTGGAGTTGCTTATCTACGAAGTACTCCACTCGGCGGGGCCGATCCCAGCTGCTGGTGTCCTCGTGGCCCAGCTGTCCATATTTACCTAAAGCGAAACCAGACCCTTTGCATCCTCTCCACTGGGTCTTGCTGCTTTCCCTCCAGGAAGGAGCCCAGACTATCCAATGAGACACTGGGATTGTGCCCCATTGCTCTGTGAATCCAGGAGACCCAGAGCCAGGTAACCCTGGGGATCCCCAGGAGGCCAGTGGTGACCAGCCACTCCAAACTTCCCTGCTACCCAAGTTAAGATGTTCGGAGCACACATTTCCATTGTATCTTTTTCTCTATCCAGTGTCGGATCCGCAAAACGATGGTTTGTAAATGCTGGCTGGACACTTCCTTCAGTGTTTCAGAGAGCTAGGTGGGTGGCACCGACATCCCCTCCATGTCCCCCTGTCTGGTCTTGGAGTATGCCTACATCTGTTCCAACCCCAGGGACGGGGCGGCCCTGGTCTTCCCAGTGACCGGGCCAAGGCCCCTGCTTCCTCTAGTCTTGGTGGCTTTGTCACCTGCCCTTTCCTCCCCTTGGTTTCAGGGTCACAAAAACAATCCTTTTACTTACCCCAGCCCCAGGTGTACAGGTCCCCTGTTCCTGAAAGCAAAAGGACAGTCAGTGGCTGGCATTTGTCCAGCCTGGCTTGGCACAGCCCACAGCTAGCACGTTGCAATCCTCATGAGATGCACCTGGTGCGAATAACATTCTCTTAACAACGGCTGATCACATGCAGCATGGTAGAGTATCCCGAGGGAAACTCCTGTGCCAAGCTACCGAGCGCAGGCCAGACTGGGCAGGCCGTGCTGTCAGAGGCGGCGGTGGGCGGGGAATGTGTCTGTGGCGGTGCACGGAGGAAAGAGAGCATCAGCCTCGCTCCGGAAGGAAGAATCCTCCGGGCCTGACAGGCTGGGGAGCTATTGTGAAACCACACAGGGGATGGGGCTTATCCAGTGAGCGAGGTAGCTGCTCTGTAGGAGCCACAGAAGTCTTAAGACAGAAGTTTCTCCGCCGCCCACCCCTTTCTGCAGACACCAGCTCGAGTGAGTAGAGTGCCTTCCTGCTCCATCCTGAACCACCCTCCAGTCCCACTCACGTGTCACCACAGCCGTGTGCCTGGATCCACAGCTGGCCTTGATTGCATCTGAGCCCAGGGGGAGATCCAGTAGAGCTGGGAAGGGCTGGACAGCTATGAACGGGGCAGGGGCTCCATCCTCAGCCCCCGCCATTCTCTTCACCTGGGAGCCATCTGCATTCAGTCCTGCGGCTTTAAAATGATAATGATGTGAACAGCGATCCCTGAGCTAAGCCTTATTCACGCAGTCACTCATTACCACAACAGCTCTGAGGCACACGACTGTCTAGCTCCAAAGCCGGTGCTCCCAACCCCAGCGTTCTGCAGGCAGGTCTCGCACTCCTGCACAAGTGTGGTGCCAAGGCTGGCATCAGCCTTACCGATGCTCCCTCCCGTAAGGGCTCGCATGCTCCATCTGAGAATGTAGCTCTCAGGCCAGCGTTCAGCCAGGAGTCAGGAATGACAGCCACATCCTGGGGCAGCAGCTGTGGGAGTCAAGTTGACCCTCACCTTCCCTTGCAATGGTCTCCTCATCCTCTGCCAGGCTCCTGGTGGGCAGGGCCAGCTGCCCTGATTCATTCCAGCCCCAGATATAGATATCCCCAGACTCTGAAAGAGATCAAGGGGACACATTAACAGACTGGGAACCCCCTGCATCCATCCAAACTCCCCTCCCCATCCCATCCCATCCGCTCCTGGGGACAACCAAAGCCAGCCTACCCAGAGTAGCGCTCCAGGCCAACTGCTTCCCCTCTGGCCCCAGGGGCTTGTCTTAGGTTCCTGTGCCCTCAGTACCTTCAGGTCACCCCTTAAGTCCCTCACTGAACCTTCCACTTTCATTCTTATGCTGCCAAATTGTCCCTCATTTCAGAGATGTGTCCCTGGAAGTGCCCCCATGGTCTCCCTTTCAAAACCACTGGGCTGGGGCCAGGTGCGGTGGCTTATGCCTGTAATCCTAGCACTTTGGGAGGCTGAGGTGGGTGAAGCACTTGAGCTCAGGAGTTCGAGGCTAGCTTCAGCAACACGGTGAAATCCCTGTCTCTAAATAAATAAACAAAACCACCCCTAGGCCGGCTTATGCTCTTTTCCTCTCACCCACAGGGGGTTCTGTAGAAAGCCACGTGCAGCTCTCGCCTTCCCAGCCGCACGCACTATAGCTTTTTGGTTGGAACAGCCGCTTAACACTAAACATCTCTAACAACAACAGCTGATTTTATGAAGTGCTTAATCCATGCTGCTGTTTTATGTGCTATTCAAATATAATCACTTAATTTGCACAAGAGTATCGCCACTTACGCAGCATCCCTATTTTATTCACAAGACAACTGAGGCACGGAGTGGTCATGTACCAGGCCCAAGGTCGCAGGGCCTGAGCAAAGATCTGAAACTAAGAAGCCTGGCTGGATGTGCCCATGCTTCAACCTCTACACCAGGCGTCCCCAAACTCTTTTTTTTTTTTTTGAGACGGAGTTTCGCACTCGTTACCCAGGCTGGAGTGCAATGGCGTGATCTCGGCTCACCGCAACCTCCGCCTCCTGGGTTCAGGCAATTCTCCTGCCTCAGCCTCCTGAGTAGCTGGGACTACAGGCACGCGCCACCATGCCCAGCTAATTTTTTGCATTTTTAGTAGAGACGGGGTTTCACCATGTTGACCAGGATGGTCTCGATCTCTTGACCTCGTGATCCACCCGCCTCGGCCTCCCGAAGTGCTGGGATTACAGGCTTGAGCCACTGCGCCTGGCCCCAAACTTTTTACACAGGGGGCCAGTTCACTGTCCCTCAGACCGTTGGAGGGCCGCCACATACTGTGCTCCTCTCACTGACCACCAATGAAAGAGGTGCCCCTTCCTGAAGTGCGGCGGGGAGCCGGATAAATGGCCTCAGGGGGCCGCATGCGGCTCGTGGGCCGTAGTTTGGGGACACTTGCTCTACACCCACCTTAAGGCCTCAAATTCCTTCTAGACCTTGAGTGGGAGGCAGCCCACTGGGCTATTTCCAGCCCTCTGGTCTCCTCTCTCCAGCCCAGTTTTTGTTTCTTTTTTTGAGACAGAGTCTCACTCTGTCACCTAGGCTGGAGTGCAGTGGCATGACCTTGGCTCACTGCAACCTCCGCTTCCCGGCTCAAGTGATCCTCCAACCTCAGCCACCCAAATAGCTGGGACCACAGGCATGAGCCACCATGCCCAGCTCATTTTTTTATTTGTTGTCGAGGCAAGATTTCACCATGTTGGCTCAGCTCAGGGTTGGCAACGAGCCCAGACCCACTCCATGAGAATATGTTGGAAGGGAAGGCATTGCTAAGTTTGGTTTGTTTTGCTTGGGACGGAGTCTCACTCTGTCACCCAGGCTGAAGTGCAGTGGCGGGACCTCGGCTCACCGCAACCTCCGCTTCTCAGGTTCAAGCAATTCTCCCGCCTCAGCCTCCTGAGTAGCTGGTATTACAGGCACCTGCCACCACGATTGGCTAATTTTTTTAATTTTTAGTAGAGACAGGGTTACACCACGTTGCCAGGCATGGTCTCAATCTCCCGACCTCGTGGATCCACCCGCCTCAGCCTCCCAAAGTGCTGGGATTCCAGGCGTGAGGCGCCGTGCCCAGCCAGCACTGGTAGTGTCTTAAGCCTCCCGGTGATCTAAGTAGCAGCCAAAAGGAGAGCCCTAGACACAGACAAAGCTCACCTGCTCTCAGCCTCGCCCTCGCTGCATGCATTCTAACAGCCTGCGGGCAGCTGCACCTGGATCACCAAGCAGCCCTCCTCACTCTGGCCAGCGTGGCACCATCACAGGGTCACACCCAGCAGCATCCTGAGGCCTGGTGGGCACCCAGCGTCTACTCTGTGCCACACATCATGGGCCCCAAGGCAACTGCAGCCTTTCTCTGCTCTCCCTGGCTCGGCTGCCCCCTCGACCCCATACTCTCTTGGCAACACCGTAGAAAGAGTCCTGGCTGGGCGCAGCTAGGGATGGGAGGGGCAGTGAGACCCGTGTCAGAGAAGCTAGAGCACAGGTGTGAGTGAGCGATGGTGGAGGCGGAGGAGGCTGAGGGTGAGGGATATTAAGGATTCATAACTGACTGGGCGATGGATGGATGAGTGTGGGAGGAGGCCTGCCACCCACCCAAACTGGAAAACAGGAGGAAGGTTTGCACAAAATCACAAGCTCGTCTGGAGAAGCATCGTCACTCACCACTCACACACACAGAATGCCAGCCCCCCGCGGCCACCTCAGCCATGGCTAGGCCCTGCAACGCCTCCAAGGGCCTTGGCTCCAGCTCTGCCTCCAGGGTCCCATGGCCCAGCTGTCCATGCCTGAGCAAGGGAGACCCGCGTCAGCTACAGTCACATTACGGTGTCCCGCTGCGCTTGCTTCTCCAGTCACCAACCCTCACCTGCCCCGCCTCACTCACCTGCCCCCGCCCCAGGAGAACACCTGGCCCGCCATGTCCAGCAGCAATGCGTGCTCCGCGCCCAGCTCCAGCCGGCGCACCCGCAGCTCCGGAGCCAGAGGCCGGTAGAAGGGCGGCCGGGGGCTCAGATAGGCACGGGCGCAGGGCAGCAGGGGCAGCCTCCCAGCCTGGGCCTCACCGCCGGGATCGTCTTCCCCTTCGGCCTCCAGCACCACATTCTGGGCCCACAAGGGATCCCCCCTCAGGGCCGAGCCGGGCGCCCAGGCCTGCAGTAACGCCCCCGACCCGGGCCGGGCGCGCAGCACCACGAGGATCCCCTCTGAGGCCCACGCGTCCCTGCAGCCTCCCGCTGCGCCGCTGGCTGAGCCCGATAGCTCGAGGCGGCCTCCACCTGCGGACCGAAAAGCGGGCTGGGGAGGAGAAGGGATATGGCGCCGGGGACCTAAACTGGGGGCGGCGCTGGGGGCTGGCGGCCTGAATGGGAGCAGCACCCTGGACTGGCCGCAGTGGCGCCGGGAGGGGTCGGGGAGCTTGGCTGGAGTAAGCGGGGACGGGGCGGGGAGTGCTCACGGGTCACGAAGGCGGAGTAGCTCCAGCTGGCGCTCACGCGGCGGATGTCGACGCCCGCCTGCAGCGGCTCGGGGCTGTGCACCTGGCGCCCGCGTCCGGAGCCCGGCGCCTGCCCGAAGCCGCAGAAACCGAAGCCGAACCAGGCCCCCCCCGGCTCCTCCGCCATGTCCCGGCAGCGCCTTCCGCCGGCCGCCACCTGGTTGCGGCGGGCCCCCTAGTGGCACGCTGGCTAGTCTCTGGCCTTCCAGGGGCTGGAGCTGCCTTATCTGTAAAATGGGGAAACTATCATTCTTCTGACTACAAAAGCAGACGATGTCCGTGCCTCGAAGTTTCGCTGAGCAGGCGCCTTGGCTAATGCCCTACAGGATTTACAAAGATTCTCAAATATCCAGTGGGGCACTTCCCTGTCCTCCCTTTTGGCTCAAGCTCAGCGTGCCACAAAGTGGGTAAAAAGTGGGCTGCCCTTTAGGCACTAGACTAGGATCCGGGCGCCCCCGACACTCCCACCCCGTACCGCAGCTTCCCAGCATCTGGCACTTTATCCCATGTCATCTTGGGAACCAAAATTGTCGTGTTTTACAGAGGAGATTCCCAGAGAAAGTAATTCTTACACAATCATACAGCTAGACAGAGAGGGGCAGAGGGCTGAAAGCAGGTCCCCCCAACTCTGCACACAGTGCTCTGCCACCCACACCACAGTGGAACGCAGAAGAGCGAGTGGGAGGCAGTGCCCTGCACAGGTTACCAACACCTCGCGGCCATCCGAGTCCAACCGCATTTTTTCAGTTTACAAAGGGAGGTGGGGGCGGTGCTGTTTGAACCTACCTCATAGAATTGCTTGTAATAAATGCAAAGAAAAGGTTTGGTGCGAGTACATACACCATGATAAACAGTATTAGCTTACTGAATCCAGTATTTAACGTTGACAAAAAATTATCCCCGGATATCTTATTGGTTTTGAGAAACTTACACAGTCACAATTTCAACTGTACCTTATCTAGTCACTTATTCGTCCAGCAAGCATTTACTGAGCCATCCTCCTCTGGGTCAGTGAGGACAGCTGTCTGCTCCCAAGGAGCTAACCCTTAAATGGGGAGAGAAACGCAATCTGGTGGTTCCAATAGCGACGCCACTTCAAGCAGGTTCGGCTGGCGCAGACGTTCTCCTATTATTATTATTTATATAATAAGAGACAGGGGTCTCGGTATCTTGTCCAGGCTGGTCTCGAACTCCTGGGCTAGAGCGATCCACCCGCCTCGGCTTCCCAGTGTTGAGATTATAGGCGTGAGCCGCATCGCCCCGGCTGAAGCGCCATTGCACAGGCATTTTCAGGCCTCTGAAGTCAGATCTTGGGTCTCTCCTGCGACCCCAGCTCCTGGGCTCCTAAACCCCCCTTCCCCAACCCAAGGGGGCCTCTGACCTTGATCTTGACCCTATGCCCTCTACCCTCTCCGGCAGGTCCTTCGGTGGGCAGCCTTGGAGGAAACGCCGAGGCGCAGAGCGGCCGCCTCGGAATAGCCGGCCGCCCAGCCAACGCCGACAGCCACGCGGAGAAAAGGTTTGAAGAGCGCGCGCGGTGAGGCGGCCAATCCGCGGCAAGGGCACTGACGCCGTCCGGGGCGCGGCGGCCGCAGCCCCGTTCACCTTCCCACGGGGGCCTCTCCGGGCCCCAGGTCCCTAGGTCTAGGCCGGGGCGCCGCCGCCAGGTCTGTGAAACGGGCTGAAACCTCCGGCAGGCGTTGCCAAGGCAGAAGTTGGACCAGATGGTCCCGCCCCTGCAGGCACCCGCGGGGCATGGGGCTCAGATTAGAATCACCGAGAGGAAGCGCATTAAGACCCGAGCTAAAGGGCTGGCGAGGAGTGACCCCCCAAGGCGGACGGACCCCGCCACCAAACGCAGTCCTGGAACCTCGGCACCTCAGAACCGGACACGCGCCGGAGCCAGGCCCAAACTGGAAGCAGCTTTGACTTTCCACTGATTGGCTCGGGGCCCGTCACGTGCATCTGTCGAGCCAATGAGCTGGGTTTAGCCCTCCCGGAAACAGGCTGGGGTGGTGGGAAGCCGGCCCGGCCCACGTAGCCCTTTAACCAACCTCTCCTGGCCTCCAACCCTAACCCCCTCGAGCGCTCTCTCAGCAGAGGCCACAAAGGACTCCCAATATAAAGGCAAACGTATTGAAGGCCCGGCATATGGGGGTCTGGACCCAAACGATTTGCTTCTTCGGATAGTTTATTTTTTGAGACAGGGTCTCGCTCTGTCACCCAGGCGACACTTTGGGAGGCAGGAATATCGGCTCACTGTACTACTCTCTACCTTCCGAGTAGCTGGGATTACAGGTGCAGGCCACCACACTCCCTTTTTTTTTTTTTTTTTTGGCATTTTTAATAGAGAAAGGATTTCACCATGTTGCCCAGGCTGGTCTCAAACTCCTGACCTCTAGTGATCCACCTGCCTCAGCCTCCCAAAGTGCTGGGATTACAGGCTTGAGGCACCGCACCTGGCGAGTTTCTTATTGATTAGCTTCCTGTGCCCCTTCGTCCGGCCAGTAGGATTAAGAAGCAACTGTGGGCCCTGGTTGGAGAATCCATTGAATTCCTTCCATGGAGGTGGCTCTTCCACTGTGAAGCTCCATTTCACACTCACCCACACCCAGAGACCCACCCGCAGCAGCCCCAGCTGCACAAGGACAGGGCACACACTGGAGTTCTACACACTTTTACTGGACGGGCAGGGGCAGGGCTGACAGTGTGCCACGCTCACAGCTGGTGAGGCTGCTGTTGTGTGCGCCCTTCCCGATGCCCCACGATCCACAGGCCGAGCTGGGATGCGCCTTTCCCAATCCCACCTGACTACAGTAGTACAAAAAAAGGGCCCCTCTGAGTGAGGCTGCAGGCAGTGCTGGCCAAGCAGGGCTATGTGACTAAGCGTGGCCACTGACTCAGAACAGAGGACATTACAGGGTGGCAAGGGAGGAGGGGCAAGAGTGTTGGGCATGCTGGCCCCCACCACCCAAAGCTGCTTCTGTCCTTGCTCTCCATGCCACAGTAGGTAGCGTGTGCATGTGCCTTGGGCCCAGAGGCAGCCCCCTCACTCTCCATCTTGGTTGGTGGGCTGGATAAGCCCATATTCCATGGCTTTGTCCAGGCAGGCTGCAGCAGCCCTTGAGACAGGGCTCTGGTCACCCTTGGCCAGCACTGACAGGATCTCCATCATCTCGCTCTCCATCAGGGTGCTGGCAATCTCCCTGGAGGCCTCCACCATGTTCAACACCACCACGGCACCCCGGTGCTGCAGCTCCTGGTTAGGGCTCAGAAGCAGGGCCTGCAGGATCTCCAGCCAGTGTGTGGTCTGTGAGAAACAGGCAGATGTGAACCCAAGCAACAGGCTCAGCCTGGGCAAGGAATACACCCACACCCTCAGGACCTCCCCTTTCAGCTGCCACCATGTTGCGAGTTCCTGGTCCGCCCCTCCTCCCTGCCAAGCAGAGGCACTGACCACTTGGGGAATGCGGTTGCAGAGCGCGGGCCGCATGGAGGTAAGCATGGCCAAGCCCCCGGCGGCCGCCCGCTGCAGCAGCTCGTCCTCCTCTCCGCTGTACAGCACCAGCAGCTTCAGCCGGTCATTGCCCTGGGCTTCAAAGAGGTCCTGCACCTGTGGCCAGATGTGGGGAGTGGACCACATCAGTGGCGTGCAAAGCCCAGCCAGGGCACAGGTATCTCAGCATCCCCGCCTGTCATAAGCACTGGGACCAACCCTCACCTCCTTGCTCATGGCCAAGTTACACATGCACTCTGTGGCTGCCCGGCGGATCATCTCATGCTCCTCAAACATGTAGCCTTCGACCATGGGCACAGCCTTCTCCTTCAGGATCTTCTGTCTGCAGGCCCACAGGAGGAAGCGGCGGGGTACAGCTTAGATATTGTCCCTCCTTTTTTTTTTTTTTTTTTTTTTAAAAGAAATGGGGTTTCACCATCACGTTGGCCAGGTTGGTCTCGAACTCCTGACCTCAGGTGATCTGCCCACTTCAGCCTCCCTCAGGGATTATAGGCGTGAGCCACTGCGCCCAGCCCAGATATTGTCCCTTCTAACTCTCATGTTGAACTGTAAACCCTATGCCCTCTACCTTGACCCTAAGCCTTGTGGGAGGTGACTGGGTCATGGGGTGGGTCCCTCGTTGCTTGGTACTGTCCTCGAGATAGAGAGTTCTTGAGATCCGGTTGTTTCAAAGTGTGTGGCATCTCCCCCCACTCTCTCTTGCTCTTACTTTCACCAGGTCACGTGCCTGCTCCTGCTTCGCCTTCTACTACGAGTAAAAACTGAGGCCTCCCCAGAAGCTGAGCAAATGCTGACGCCATGCTTATATAGCCTGTAGAACTATGAACCAATTAAACCTCTTTTCTTTATAAATTACCCAGTCTCAGGTATTCCTTTACAGCAATGCAAGAGCAGATGAACACAGGCAGCAGCATCAAGACTTCCTATATCTGCTCCACCTCTCCACCCACACCCTCATGCAGTCAAGTCCTCGGCTGAGGATTGTCCTTGGCAACATCCAAGGACCCTCTTGCTGTGAACTACAGTGCTTGTTACCCTTTTTTTTGAGACAGAGTTTTGCTCTTGTTGCCCAGGCTGGAGTACAATGGTGCAATCTTGGCTCACAGCAACCTCCACCTCCCAGGTTCAAGCGATCCTCCTGCCTCAGCCTCCCAATTAGTTGGGATTATAGGCATGCACCACCATACCCAGCTAACTTTGTATTTTTTAGTAGAGATGAGGGTTCTCCATGTTGGTCAGGCTGGTCTTGAACTCCCGACCTCAAGTGATCTGCCCACCTCGGCCTCCCAAAGTGCTGAGATTACAGGTGTGAGCCACTGTGCCTGGCCTCATTTGAATACTGACCTGACCAGGCACCTGCATCATCTTAGTTAATCCTCACCATGGCCCTGTGATAAAGGTGCAGGTGTGATCATCATCACTGCTGCTTTGCAGAAGAGAAAACAGGGGCTGAGTAATGAGTCCCATGTTCAAAGTCACAGTAATAAATCTAAAACATGCTGATATGGCACAACGCTAGGGGCCAGGTACCCATGTAGTAAGTACTTTTACGTGTATTTTCTCATTTCATTCTCCTCACCACTATGCCATGAGGTAGGTACTATAATCATCCCATTTCACAGAGCGAGACACTGAGGCAGAGCAGTGAAGGAACTTGCTTGCGGTGACACATCTGCATCAGGGAAGCAAGGCAGTGTGCCTCCAGAGCCTGCCGTGCCATGGTGCCTCTCAGCCTGGCTCCTCCTCTCTAACAATGCCAAGGAGCCACTGAGGCGACAAAAGCCAGTGACTGGGATATTCCAAATCCTGATGCCTGGCCCAGGCCCCGCATCCCAAGGAGGCTTACCGGAGCCTCTCGCTGATCCCCGCCAAGTTTGTTAGGGCCATGAGCGCCTCGAAGTTCTGCAGGCCTGAGCAGTTCAGGTGCAACAGGGACACAAGGGGCCGGACCACCTCATAGATCTGCAATGTGCACCCTACCTGTCAGGGCTACTTGCCGCTGTCCCCACAGCCTCACCAACCCGGCGGGGAGGAGCCCACCCACAGAGAGTGCTCCACTCTCAGGCTGTCCTTCCTACCCAGGGCTCAGCAAAGCTGAAACCTCCTGCTGGTCCCAAAGGGCAGCTATAGCCCAGCCCACAGGCCACCAGGGACAGAGGGAGTGGAACGGCCGGAGCAGGAAGACACATACCCGCTCGCCAGGGAAGGTCATCTCGGGGTTGGAGGTGATGGTGAGCTTGGCAAGGGCCTGGGCTGCCTTTGTCTGCCCCACGTCCGTGCCTTCCAGGGCCAGCGGGATCAGCGCCTGTAGTAACAAGCCCGTCACTGCTCAAGATGTGCCTGGGAGTGTAAGACCCAAACCATCAGGCCCCAAGGCCCTGACAGTGTCACCCTCACCCTCCTCCCTCTCCCATGCTGGACTCCCTGTGCAGACCCTCTCACCCAAACATTTCCTGAAACCCCCACTAAGGGCTGGACATGGATGGTGCTGGGCACCAGAGCCATGGAGGTAATCGAGACAAAGGAACAGGAGGAGAGCCCAGGCCATTCACAGGCCTGCCCGCTTCTGTGTCCCTCTCTCAGCGGGACAACGTCCCTCTGGCCATTACTCATGTTTTCCTGTCCTGCATCTAACACGCAGCTCTGGCGTGGCAGCCGCTGAGTCACGTTTTATAAGCTGATTGCTCAGCCGGCAGGAAGGGGTGTGGAAACCGGCTTACCCTGCCGCCTCCCTGGGCAACCACGGTGCCTCGGTCCTCCACCTCTTCCACCAAAGCCAGGAAGACCCTGTGGGGAGAAGGCAGTGGTGGGCAGGCAGGCGCTCCACTCCTGTGCCCAGCCAGGCAGGCAGCCCTGTCATCCTAAGAGGCCCACAGCACTGGAACCTGCCGCCTCTGGAGCCACATCCGCAGCCCTGAGGCCCAGGAGTTGGGCAAGGCTGGCTCCCACCAAGGCTGGCTCACCTGGAGAGCAGCTCTCGGCAGGAACTGGTCAGCACAGGGCTCTCCGTCTTCACCATGCATACCATGGCCGACACCACACCCGCTGCCAGCAGCTTCTTCACCCGAGCCCGCACAAAGCTCGGCTTGTCCTGGGGGAGGAGGCAGCTTAGGAGGGGGCCCTGGGCTGACTCACAGAGAAATCGGGAGCAACCTTCTCACAGCAACAACTGAGGAACTGAGCAATGAAACAGCCAGACAAAGGGAAAGAAGCTGGCTTAAATGGGAAGCTGCTCTGCCGCGGATGCCCTGGGTCAGCTGGTCCCCGTGACTGGGGCAACTTCTGGCCCCTCTGGTGGCTCCTCACCTTGGGGTGCTGCTCGGGCACGTGCTGCTTGGCATACTTGGCCAGCTCCACCATCTTGGGGTCAGGCTCCTCAAAGTCGTAGCTGTTGGTGCAGTTAACCAGCGCGGAAGCCACCGCAAAGAGCACCGACCTCTCCTCAGACTGCCAGAATGGAGAGGCATTCATGTGGCCACCCCGGGCCAGAGCAGCACTCGGGTAAATGCTGCCCAGGCCCAGGCCCCCAATTCCACCCTCAGCTGGGGCCCTAGGGTACAGGATGAATTCAGGAAGCTCCCCAGGCCCCAGACTTTGGGAGCTTACAAACTGGACCCCCCCAGCTCCTCCAAGGAGAACGTCCTTGCTACCTGCACAAGGCCAACGTGCCCACACCACACAGAGCAGCCACTCAGCCACCAGCCCTCCTCCCTGGGAGCAAAAGACCCCATTGGCCAAGCCCTGCCGAGAAAGCCTGGTAAGCTCTAGTCCTAGACCATGTCCCCAGGCAGACAACGGCAACCACAGAGCTACCCTGCTGAGCTGGAACAGAGCCTTCAGGGCAGCCGCATCCTCCACAAACTCTTCCTTCACGTCGGCGTCAAAGGTCAGGTAAGCCAGGCCCTCCACTGCCCAGCGCCGAGTGCCCGCATCAATCTGGTCATTGCACAGCCACCTGGGGACATGCAGGACAGTGGATGACCCTCAGGACTGGGGGTAGGGAGGGGTATACCAAGGCCAAGGAGGAAGAACCAAGGGTTTGGGCATCCGCTCAATGTACAGAAGCAGTTCACCTGCCAGGATCCAGACGGCAGCGCCTGCCGGAGCCAGAGAGGACGACAGGGAGGAGGCCCCCACGCCCACCCAGACCCTCCTGTCTTGAGATCTATCCGACAGGTGGGGAGCCACAGCAAGGCCAGACGACTCACTTTCGACACTGCTTGGCCAGTTTGAGAGTGGAGCCTTCAGCAAATTGCTTCATGCTAAAGTCAGTCCCTCCAGCCGAACCGAGCTTACAGAGGCCCTGGAAGAAGAGGGCAAGACCAGCTGGCCTCTGGCGCAGGACACAGGAGCTGGGCTTCTGCACAGCTGGCTTGGACTCCCTCCCTGGCACTCTCCCATTGCACCTGGATGCTAAATCAGCACCCTCTCCCTCCACACCACCACCTAGAGCAGGTGGCAGCAAAATCAGCTACTGCAGTGGCAGTGTGACACAGCATCTGCAGACACGGACACACTGGCCACTGGACAGTCGTGGGCCCCACCCCTTCCCAGGCCACACTGAGAATAGCTGTTTCCTTCCGTGTCACACAAGGAAGCCCTCTGCCAGTGGAGCTGAGAGGTGTGTGGGGAGAAGACAGGTGCTTCGGCCACAGCCAGCATCCTTACGGGATGGAGAAACCCAGAACTGAGTGCCCAAGGAGGAAGACCAGCTTCCACAGGTGCACAGCCACAACAGGCTCATGGAGGGCTAGGCTAGCCCCAAATCCTAAACCACCAGCTCCTGGGATCGCTGCGTGACCCCTGTTGGCCCAGCCTTAAGACCCATGATGGGAGAAGCCGTGCCCATGTCTCTGGCTACAACAAGGCCCAGAATCTCATACATTCATTCATTTATTTTAGAGAGGGTCTTGCTGTGTTGCCCAGGCAGGAGTGCAGTGACCTGCATGGCTCACTACATCCTCAACATCCTGAGCTCAAGTGATCCTCCTGCCTCAGCCTCCTGAGTAGCTGGGATTACAGGCATGTGCCACCTGTACAGGCATGTGCCACCAAGCCTGGCCAATTTTTTTAGAATTACAGTATCATTTATTTTCACCTGGAGTGTGTGCGGGCCACACCCTGCAACACCAGCTGGACCAGGACCCCTGCGTGGCTGCCTGCCCACACACCCCACGCCCATCGTCTCACCACCAGCGCCCGGATGCGGATGCTGTCCTTCTCGCTGCGCTTATATAGGTCCTTCAGCAGCGAGACACCATTGGCAGTGATGAATGAGGCCCGTTTGGCCTTGCCAGCTGCGTGGATCAGAGCCTCCACGGCCACCAGCTGCTCCTCCTCTTGCTCAGAGGCACACAGAGCGATCACACTCTCCATGACACCACTCAGCTCCAAGGCCCGGTTGCCGGCGTCACATGGGCCCTGCAGGAGGCAGGACACCGTCTGGATGGCCCGTAGCTTCCCGGCCAGCCCATGGCCCTCAAACCAGCTCCTGAGGGGCACAGGGTGACAGCTGTCACACCAAGGCCAACATAAAGGAACTCTTCTTCCCTCCCTTCCCCTTCAGTGGCCAGGCACCTGCACTACTTGCAAAGAAACAGCAAGAAAAGCTGCCCATGGGAGGATGAGGACAATTCCCCCTGGACAACAGTGGCCGATTTTTTAATCGATGCTTTCACTCAAGCCTTCTCTGACACAGTATCTAACACAGGTTACTTCCACACCACCACTGCTGGACTTAAGATCTGAAATAACTCTGCTTATTTCATAATTAATCATCAGTCTTCTTCCCGTCAACTGCAAGCTCCTTTTTTTTTTTTTTTTTTTGAGACAGAGTCTTGCTTTGTCCCCAAGGCTGGAGTGCAATGGTGTGAGCTCAACTCACTAAAATCTCCATTTGCCAGGTTCAAATGATTCTGCTGTCTCAGTCTCCCAAGAAGCTGGGATTACAGGCACCCACCACCAGTCCTGGCTAATCTTTTGTTTTTTTTGTTTTTGTTTTTTTTTTGTATTTTTAGTAGAGACAGGGTTTCAACATGTTGGCCAGGCTGTTCTCTAACTTCTGACCCCAGGTGATCCACCTGCCTCTGCCTCCCAAAGTGCTGAGATTACAGGTGTAAGCCACTGCGCATGGCCAATAATCTCCTTTAAGAATAAGGACTATCAGCCGGACACAGTGGCTCACACCTGTAATCCCATGACTTTGGGAGGCCAAGGTAGGTGGATCATAGGTCAGGAGTTCAAGACCAACCTGGCCAACATGGTGAAACTGCATCTCTACGAAAAAAAAAATACAAAAATTAGCTGAGCATGGTGGCGGGTGCCTGTAGTCACACAACTGCTCGGGAGGCTGAGGCAGGAGAATTACTTGAACCCGGGAGATGGAGGTTGCAGTGAGCCAAGATCGCGCCAGTGCACTCCAGCCTGGGAAATAGAGCAAGACTCTGTCTCATTAAAAAAAAAATAATAATAAGGACTGTGAGCCGAGTGCAGTGGCTCACTCCTGTAATCCCAGCACTTTGGGAGGCCAAGGTGGGTGGATCACGAGGTCAGGAGATCGAGACCATCCTCGCCAACATGGTGAAACCTGGTCTCTACTAAAAATACAAAAATTAGACAGGCATGGTGGCATATGCCTGTAATCTCAGCTACTCGGGAGGCTGAGGCAGGAGAAATACTTGAACCAGGGAGTCGGAAGTTGCAGTGAGCTGAGAATGCGCCACTGCACTCCAGCCTGGTGACACAGCGAGATGCCGTCTCAAAAAAAAAAAAGGCCGGGCGCAGTGGCTCAAGCCTGTAATCCCAGCACTTTGGGAGGCCGAGGCGGGTGGATCACAAGGTCAAGAGATCGAGATCATCCTGGTCAACATGGTGAAACCCTGTCTCTACTAAAAATACAAAAAATTGGCTGGACTTGGTGGCATGTGCCTGTAATCCCAGCTACTCAGGAGGCTGAGGCAGGAGAATTGCCTGAACCCAGGAGGCGGAGGTTGCGGTGAGCCGAGATCGTGCCATTGCACTCCAGCCTGGGTAACAAGAGTGAAACTCCATCTCGAAAAAAAAAAAAAAAAAAAAAAAACAGAATAAGGACTGTCATGTTTCACCTGCATGGCAACAGATGCCTAGGGAAGTGCTTGGTAAACCCAGTACATGCTTGATGGCGTTTGTTGTGTTACTAGAACGTTGATTTGAGAAAGAACCTCTCTGGGAAGGCTGCTTTGGAGCAGGAAGGGGGCCTTGGGGTCACTTTTCCTTCATCCAGCCCCCACTAGTCCTCCCCAAGACTACTCTTCCTGCTGGAATCCCTGGCAACAGGCGGTGAAACAGACTCCTTACTTGATGTAGTTTTCACAGAGTCGGTGGAAATTCTCCCTCTCGGCATCACACTTGAGATCATCGAAGAGCTTGCTGAGGAGAATGGAGGCGCTCATGCGGCTGTTTGCGGTCACTGTGAGCTCCCCAGGAGGGTCCTGTAGAGAGCCTCCCACTTCCAAAATCTTTTTCAGACCTAAAAAGACACCCCATTTAGACAGTAGAACACCAGTTCCCACCCCTACAAGTAAAGGGAAGAGGCTTCCCAGGAGACGCAGAGAGAAGCAAGACAAGAAGTCTCGAGTTCAGGTAACTGCGAACAGGGCAGCCCAGAGAAGCTACTCAGCTGACCTGCTACCTGGAGAGGCAGCGGTGGGGTTGGCAAGGACCTGAGAAGTGAGGCCTGCATGCCAGCCCTGTCCCTGGGGCCATGTGCTCTGGGGCTTTGAGATTTCTCATCGGTAAAAATAAGGGGAAAAAAAAAATCCACACCTCTTAGGATCACTGTGAACACAAAAGGTGAGGTGCATGAAAGACGAGCTCATGTGGGATCTTTGCAAAGCTTTTCTTATTTATCTTAGGGGAAAGGAGAGATGAATTGATATATTCACCTTTAATTATTTTTTCCTGAGTATAGAAGTAATACATGCTCATTCAAAAAAAAAAAACAGGCCGGGCGCGGTGGCTCAAGCCTGTAATCCCAGCACTTTGGGAGGCCAAGGCAGGTGGATCACGAGGTCCAGAGATCGAGACCATCCTGGTCAACATGGTGAAACCCCGTCTCTACTAAAAATACAAAAAATTAGCTGGGTATGGTGGCGCGTGCCTGTAATCCCAGCTACTCAGGAGGCTGAGGCAGGAGAATTGCCTGAACCCAGGAGGCGGAGGTTGCGGGGAGCCGAGATCGCGCCATTGCACTCCAGCCTGGGTAACAAGAGCGGAACTCCGTCTCAAAAAAAAAAAAAACAAGGATGACAAGGATGGACGCAGTTATTCACAGCTGTAATCCCAGCACTTTAGGAGGCCAAGGTGGGCAGATCGCCTGAGGTTCGGAGTTCAAGACCAGCCTGACCACCATGGGGAAACCCCATTTCTACTAAAAATACAAAAATTAGCTGGGCGTGGTGGCACATGGCTGTAATCCCAGCTACTCAGGAGAATCACTTGAACCCAGGAGGTGGAGGCTGCAGTGAGCCGATATCATGCCATTGCACTCCAGCCTGGGCAATGAGCAAAACTTTGTCTCAAAAAAAAAAAAAAAAAAAGGGTGGGGCTCAGTGGCTCAGGCCTGCAATCCCAGCACTTTGAGAGACCAAGGTGGGTGGATCATTTGAAGTCTGAAGTTTGAGACCAGCCAAGCCAACGTAATGAGACCCTGTCTCTATTAAAAATACAAAAATTAGCTGGGTGTACTGGCGTGTGCCTGTAATCCCAGCTACTCGGGAGGCTAGGGCAGGAGAATTGCTTGAACCCAGGAGACAGAGGCTGTAGTGAGCCAAGATTGCACCACTGCACTCCAACTCCACCTCAAAAAAAAAAGATACAGAAAACTAATCCAGCCTCTCTGCTAACCTGCTTGCAGGCCCGCTCAATGTGCACGTATCTGCACACACATGATAGAAGGATCTAACTCTGAGCCCCCTAAGGGTAGCTTCTTTGTCTGGTAGGTGTTAACAAGAGCCAAATCTCAATGGTCTGGAACAGGCATCCCCAAACTACGGCCCTCGGGCCGCATGCAGCCCCCTGAGGCCATTTATCCGGCCCCCCGCCGCACTTCAGGAAGGGGCACCTCTTTCATTGGTGGTCAGTGAGAGGAGCACAGTATGTGGCAGCCCTCCAACGGTCTGAGGGACAGTGAACTGGCCCCCTGTGTAAAAAGTCTGGGGACGCCTGGTCTGGAAGATCTCAGCTCCAGCATCCTCCTGGGCCACAGGATGCATTTCAGTGCAGATACATGGCTGGAGATAATTACAAATTTTCTTTCTTTCCTTCTTAATCACTTTTCTTTCTTTTTTTTTTTTTTTTTTTTGAGACAGGGTCTCTCTTTGTTGCCCAGGCTGTAGTGCAGTGGCACAATCATAGCTCACTGAAGCATTTATCTCCTGGGGTTAAACAATTCTCCCACCTTCAGCTTCTGGAGTAGATAGGACTACTGTGCAGACGCACACCACCATGCCCAGCTAATTTTTTTTTATTTTTCATAGAGACAGGGTCTTGCTACATTGCCCAGGCTCATCTCAAACTCCCAGCCTCAAGTGACCCCCTGCCTCAGCCTCTCAAAGTGTGTGATCCACCATGCCTGGCCCCACTCAAACCTTTTCTTATTACTCCTAAGGATAAACAAACTTCGGCTGCCCAGGCAAGCTTTTGTGAACTCTATCACCTACCTTGGTCAATGACCCAGAGGGTGAGGCTGTTGTTGGGGTCCTTGGGAGACTTCCGGGGCACCGCTTTAATTAGAAGAGTCAGGGCATTGTCTCGGCCTTGGCCAGAGACCCCCACCTCTGTCAGCAGATCTAAGAGGTTACTGATGAGGACCTTCAGTTCCCGGGCAGGATCTGGCAACAAGAAGACATCCGTGGGCTCCACAGCAGCCCAGCCCTGTTTGACTCTTGATCTTCCCCACCAAGCCTGGGAGACACAGGGAAGGGGGGACCCGCATCCTGGCTCCAGACTGAGCTCCAGCCTTGCCCTGAGGCAGCTTGGCTGCTGAGAATCTAAAGTAAATAATGTCACAAGCCCATTCCCGACGACCTGCAGCTGCCAGTCTGCTACCCAAAGCACTGGCCTGGCTGGCTCACCCTATCCCTTCCATGACAGTAACTTCCAAAACACCCGAGCCCCGCTCCCACTCACCCACGATGATGGCGCCTTCTTTGCCTCGGAAGCCTTTTTTGACGCCTTCCTTGAGGGCATCAAACATAACCTGCAGCAGGTGGCAGGCAGCCAGCGACACAGCCTGGTTTTCCACACCCAGGATGGAGACCACTCGCCGAGTGCCCAGTATGCTCAGGGTTGCCACGGTCTGAGATGGGACAGGGGGACAGAAGCTTCCAGTTAGTGAAGGGCAGCCGCAGAGATCCCTGTGAGTTAGACAACACAGCCAGAAGGAGAGAAAACATTTCGGGGGCAGGCCCAGCTCCAGGTGAAAACAAGACAGAACAGATGGCATGACGCAAGGCAATGGCAGGATAATTTTGTTAGAAAGACTTCCTAAAGGAAACACTCCAGAGCAATACCCTGGAGTGTTGCAATTACCTCTCCTTGGCGCCAGAGAAGACACAATATACCGCGGCCCTGGGAGCAGCTGCTTTAGCTCATGTCTCCCCAAGAAGGAGACCTAACCCTAGACAAAGCTACCTAACCACCAGGCTGAATGGTCTAGTTCTTCCCCAGTCTAACCCTCGAGGTTCCGTCCACACCCTGGGGATGTGGACATGCACAGAATGGGCCTATGAGACCTCTCTACTCCATTTCTAAGCTGGAGAACCCTAGAAGGCCTGCTTGGTCCACTGAGCCCTGATCCTGACTGCTTCCACTTAGCAGCTGAGTGTCCTTGGCCAAGAGTGTGAACTGAGATGGATGGAGAGGCAGGAGGGAACAGAATGCATTGCTTTTACCATTCATAGCCTTGGGAGACCCAGAATGTAGCCCAAGCTCAGCCTAAAGAGATTTTACTGACTAATTCACAGTTCCACACCTATCTAGGAACTGTGGGCTCCTCTAAAAGCAACCCAGGGTCTCGCCTTTGGTCTCCTTTCCCCTGGAGCAAGCCAGCTCAGGTGAGTGCTGGGGGCGTGGGCTTCACCACACTGCCCAGGAGCAGAACTGTTCTTGCTGAACTGTCCATGCTGGACCACCACCATCCATGCTGAGAATCACGCCAGAGTCAACCTCTATGTGTCCCGTCACTGTCTCGATGGTAAAGAAACGCTGTGGTGACATCACTGATCACATCCCTCACTATGAGGACTCTCTGCTCCACAGGAAACGACAACTGGATCTTTAGAGCAAGGACAGGTGTGCTTTTCTGGGCAATGAGCCTGTTTGCACCATATGGACATTAAGGATCAGTGACCAATGTGTCTTTGTGAGGTGGCTGCAGGAAAACTTGGGCTTACACTTGTAACACCCCCAAAAGTAAGTGTTTGGAGTTCCCCAGGGCTGTTTCCACTCTTTCTAGCCCCACTTCATCCTAATTCATGTTGGTCTTTTTCACATTTTTATTTTTTCTCTCTTGTTACATATAGCTCCCTGATGTCCTTGTATTCTGCCTTAAGTTCTTTGTTTGTTTGTTTTTGAGACAGTCTGGCTCTGTCACCCAGGCTGGAGTATAGTGGTGTGATCTCAGCTCACTGCCACGTCCGCCTTCTGAGTTCAAGTAATTCTTGTGCCTCAGCCTCCAGAGTAGCTGGGATTACAGGCGCGTACCACCATGCCTGGCTCGTTTTTGTATTTTTACTAGAGATGGTGTTTCTCCATGTTGCCCAGGCTGGTCTCAAACTCCTGACAAGTGATCCACCAGCCTCAGCCTCCCAAAGTGCTGGGATTACAGGTGTGAGGCACCATGACAAGCCTAAGTTCCTTTCAGAATAAGATAAAGGGTAGAAGGGTGGATGGAAGAGTGGATGGATGGATGGATGGATGGACAGGCAGATGGGTAGTAGGGTGGACAGAGGGATGGATGGACAGACAGACAAAGGGACTGAAGCAGTAACCAGGCTTTCCACTTCACCTACCCGTGACTGATGCTCAGAGCAAATGCCAACCAGTGTACGCAGAGCAGCCAGCATGAGGTCAGTCTCTCCCGTGTCCAGTAGGCGTTGCAGGAGCTGAACCCCATTGCTCCGGAAGATCTTCTCAGCTCCAGCATCCTCCCTGGCCAGCACCACCAGGTTCTGAGATGCCTATGTTAAAGGAAACACACGAAAATGTTGACGCTGCACATGGCATAGGGCACAGCACTGGTAGCAGGGCCCCGAGTCCTGGACCTCACTGCTTCCACTTCGTAGTTGAGTGACATTGGCCAAAAAATAACCTCTTCGAATCTTCCTCTGTAAGTAGAGGGAAGAGCCTTCTCCCAGGATTGATGATTAGAGTAAATGAGTCCCCAGCAGAGCCTGAGGGGCTGGAACAGTGCCTCAGTCACCTCTGTGCACCCAGCTCCTGCCACAGAGCCTGGCCCACAAGGCACTCTGTGAACACCGGTTCTCCTTCTTTGGTTCATGCTAAAGCCCCAGGGCTGCCCTCTAGGCCCCATAAGCCAGCTGCATGGTGGGAGAAGCAGCAGAGCAGGGCAGCAGAGGCTTCTGGGGCCTGCGTGGGTGAAGGGTGCATGGCTGGGTGCCTCTAGAAGGAGCTTACTCACTGACTCAGCCCAGGGCCTATACCTTTTGCTTTTTCTCAGTGCCCTTCTCTTCTGGGTCCAATAGTATCTGAAACATCTGTTCCACTTTGGCATCCGTCGAGGACATGTATCGCACCTACAAACCAACAAAGCATGGAAGAAATCCCGGCTCTGGGCCAGAGACATCACATTCCCTTTCATTTGTCTCCAGCTCCTCACTCCGGGAGCCCTAGCGAAGATATCGAAACTCAGGGCTAGCACCTGGCTACCCTGGGCAGGAAGAGACTCCCCTGGCAGCACCTCCTACATTCCCTGCAGCTGTTTTGCTTCCTGAGCCATTTCCTGCTTGGGCAGCAGGAGCCACGCCGATGCTGGAGGTAGAGTCTTTCGGGAGGGGAGGTATCCTGTCAGCCACAAGGCAACCCACTCCCAGTGGTGCCATCTACGTTGTGGCAGCGTGAATGGGCTGCCCATGGCACTGAACTCAGCATTTACACCTCCTGCCAGGGAGCTGCAGATTGTGAGGTAGTTGTTAACACTTCCTTTAGCTCCAGAATTTTCTTTATGACTGTTTTTTTTTTTTTTTTTGAGACGGAGTTTCGCTCTTGTTACCCAGGCTGGAGTGCAATGGCGCGATCTCGGCTCACTGCAACCTCCGCCTCCTGGGTTCAGGCAATTCTCCTGCCTCAGCCTCCTGAGTAGCTGGGATTACAGGCACGCGCCACCATGCCCAGCTAATTTTTTGTATTTTTAGTAAAGACGGGGTTTCACCATGTTGACCAGGATGGTCTCGATCTCTTGACCTCGTGATCCACCCGCCTCGGCCTCCCAAAGTGCTGGGATTACAGGCATGAGCCACTGCGCCCGGCTTGACTGTTTTAAAAATAATCTGAAACCAGGTGTGGTGGCTCACACCTATAATCCCAGCACTTTGGGAGGCCAACGTGGGCAGATCAGCTGAGGTCAGGAGTTTGTGACCAGCCTGGCCAACATGGCAAAACCCTGTCTCTAAGAAAAATATAAAAATTATTCAGGAGGCAGGAGGCTGAAGCAGAAGAATCACTTGAACCCGGGAGGCAGAGGTTGCAGTGAGCAGAAATCCTGCCACCGCACTCCAGCCTGGGTGACAGGATGAGACTCTGTCTCAAAAATAATAATAATAGGCCGGGTGCGGTGGCTCACGCCTGTAATCCCAGCACTTTGGGAGGCCGAGGCAGATGGATCACTTGAGGCCAGGAGTTCAAGACTAGCCTGGCCAACATGGTAAAACCCTGTCTTTTTTTAATAAAAATAATAGTAATAATAATAATCTGAATGGGCAAGATCATCCTAGGTCTACTCCCCCAACCACAGGGTCCTGGGCATAGATGGTGGCAAAAGCCTGGCATGTGGACCACCCCCTTCCCCTCCTGTATCCATGGCAGCCATGACTAATCAGACACAGCATATTTTCCTGCTCAGCTCAGGCAATCTGCTTCCTAATTCTTCTCAACATAGGAGACTCTGGGCAGCCACTGCTAATCAGAGTTGGCACTGAGAGAGGAAACCTCTTTGCTTTTTTGGGTTTCACTGTTTCAGTGAGGTCTCTGCCATCATGTTGCCTGCTTCCACTGTGTCAGCATTTTAACATCAAATTATCGGGTGAATATGAGCTTGATTATAGCTCATAATGGTCTTTAGATTCTTTTCTCCTAATTTAAAAATATATGTATTACACAATTTCTCTTTACTAAAAAAATATGAACAGATGACGGAGTCTCCTTTTGAAAGCCCTCTCAATCCCATTCCTTTCCCCAGGGGTCACAATGGTATCATTTTGACATATATCTTTTAAAATATTTTCCTGAAAACAAACAAAAAGAAACAAAGATACATATTTGGCCTGGTGCCATGGCTCACACCTGTAATCCCAATACATTGGGAGGCTGAGGTGGGTAGATCCCTTGAGCCCAGGAATTCGAGACCAGCCTGGACAACACAGTGAAACCCTGTCTCTACAAAAAATATAAAAATTAGATGAGCATGGTGACATGCATTCGTCCCAACTACTTGGGAGGCTGAGGTAGGAGGATCCCTTCAGCCTGGGAGGAGGAGGTTGCACTCCTGTCTGGGTGACAGAGGGAGAGCCTGCCTCAAAATACGTAAATAAACAAAAATAAATATAAAAAAATAAAGTATTCTTTTGTATTTACATACCCCAGGTACCCACAGAAAAAATATAGCATTGTTTTGCTATGTAAGGGATCATTAACATAGATGATATTATACTATGTGTGCTATTATATATTTTTCTTCTTCTTTTCTTCTTTGAAAGACATAGGGCCTCACTCTTTCAGCCAGGCTAGAGTGCAGTGACACCATCATAGCTCACTGACCTGCAAAATCCAGGGCTCAAGGGATTCTCCTGCCTCAGCCTCACAAGTAGCTGGGACTATAAGGGTATGTCACCACACCCACCTAACTTTTTTAAACTTTTTATAGCAACAGGGTCTCACTATGTTGCCCAGACTGGTCTCAAACTCCTGACCTCAAGTGATCATCCCACCTTGGCCTCCCAAAGCACTGGGATTATATGCATGAGCCACCATGCCCTGCCTATTTCGCTTTGTTCATTCAACAACTGTCTCAGAGCTTTCCACTTCAATAGGTGTGTATCTACCTCTTCTCAGTAACTACATAAGACTCTGTAGTAAGGACATTACTCAACATATTCAGCCATTTCTCTATGGCTGGGTTTTCAGGCAAGTTCCAAGCTTTTCTTACTACAAAAAAGGCTGAAATAAACAAATACATGTCTCCTTGTACCCATGGCAAGGTTTCTCTGAGAGAAACAGCAAGAAGTAGGCTGGGCCTGGTGGCTCACGCCTGTAATCCAAGCACTTTGGAGGCCAAGGCGGGCGGATCACCTGAGGTCGGGAGTTCAAGACCAGCCTGACCAACATGGTGAAACCTCGTCTTTAAAAAAAATAAAAATAATTTTCTTTTTTTTTTTTGAGACGGAGTTTCACTCTTGTTACCCAGGCTGGAGTGCAATGGCGCGATCTCGGCTCACCGCAACCTCCGCCTCCTGGGTTCAGACAATTCTCCTGCCTCAACCTCCCGAGTAGCTGGGATTACAGGCATGCGCCACCATGCCCAGCTAATGTTTTTTATTTTTAGTAGAGACGGGGTTTCACCATGTTGACCAGGATGGTCTTGATCTCTTGACCTTGTGATCCACCCACCTCGGCCTCCCAGAGTGCTGGGATTACAGGCTTGAGCCACTGCACCCGGCAAAAATAAATTTTTTTAAAAAAGAGAAATAGCAAAAAGTAAACATATGGGATCACAAGATACACTCGTTTCAAATTTAATAGATATGCTAACGTACTCTCCAAAAGAGCTGTACCAATTTATACCCCTCCAGCAGTCATCAGAAAGCCCTTGGCCCCCAGCCTCACCACTGACATGTCTGCCTCTCTCCTCGAAAAGTGTACTTTCTTTTAAATATCTGCCAAACAGACCGCCAAATCAGCAGTAACGTGCTGTCATCTGAATTTGCTTTTCCCTGGCCACAGGCAAGGTTGAGCAGAACTCTGTATGTTCACCTGCCATCAGTATCTCTTGTCTGGAGAACTGTCTGTACCTCTGGCCCGGATCCCTTCACCACTGGTCAGTGCTCCCACCTGTCTGGGTCACTCACATACCTTCTCCTGAATCTGGCCCCCGATGTTCCGCAAGGCCTCCTGGAAAACTTTGTTCTTGGGTTCCAAGCTCACACATCTCTTCAGGTCAAGGACAGCCTGGTCTAGGCGGCCCAGCTTCTCTAGGGCTTGGCTCCGCCGGTAGAGTGCCTTGACATCCCCACCATCCTTTTCAATGGCTGAGCACAAACAGGAGCTCTGTCAGCACCCATGAGGCCACCGTCGTCAGGCAAGAGCAGTAGGGAAAGATCTCGAGGAAAAGCCAGAGGAAGGTGGGGGACGAATGTGGGGCTCGGTGCTTCAGCCTCAGAAAAGGTAAGGGTAGCTGCAGAAAAGGAAAGGCCCGAGGCAGTGGGAAAGAAAGAAGGCAGATGTGTCTCCGGGGCCAAACGAGGGGAATGTGATGGTCCCACAGTCCTTGCCCTACAGAAGCCCTACAGTGCTACTCGAGGGCCCACCATTCCCCTACCTTTGGATGCCTCTGTTTCTGCTTTGTCGTAATCTTCCTGTAAGAGAAAGACAGAAGCCGAGTTGGGAGGGGCGGGGGGGGGGGATGTGGAATAGGAGCCGAAGGAATAGTCACCTCCATCTAAGGGTACTAACCGGACAGTGGGGTACTCTCGTTCTCCAAGGTCACCCAATCCCCCACGACCCTGATGTGCATTCGACATCTAGCAAGCGGGGTGGCCTGGAAGCGTGAATGTCCAGCTGGGGCCCAAGCAACAGCTAAGATGCGCAAACCGGGTCCCGGGAGGGTGGGGAAGTTGGAGGGGAAGGGAGCGCGGCTCCCTCACCAGCTTCAGGTGGCAGGCGGCCCGGTTCCGGTGCAGAATGGCCTGGTCCTGGGGCGTCGCGTCCAGACCCAAGGCCTGAGTGTAGGCCGCCAGGGCGCCCTGGTAGTCTCCACATTTGAACAGCTCGTTGCCCTCTTTCCGCAGCTGCTCCACTGCCACTGAGTTGGCCTGTGGGGAGAAAGGGGCGGCCACGTCGGAGAGGGCTCGGGGCAGGCCCGGGAGCTAAGAGGAGAGGAGAGGAGGGATGCGGGGGCGCCTCACGGATGAGGAGGAGGAGGAGGCCAGGACGGTCAGCGCGGGTGCGAAGGGGTGATGGCGCGGGGGTTGGGTACGCACCCCGGGGATAGCCGGCCGGGGCTCGGGGGTCCCTGCACCACTCACAGTCATCGCAGAGAGGTTGTCCCGTGCCCGCGCAGGCGCAGTCTCTGGGGAGAGTCTGGGCTCTGGACGCGGCCGGAAGCTACCCCGCCCACTCCTGCGTCGGAGGCGGGGTCAGAGAGGGGCGGAGCTAAGGGTGCGCGCGCCCGGGCAGGGGCGGAGCGCTCGGCCCCGGATGGCAGGTGCAAGCAGGCTCCGCGCGCCCCTAAGCTGTCCCCGCGGAGACCTGCAGGGAGCTCGGGGCGGAAAACCCAGAGGGAGGCCTGCGGCAGTTCCAGCCCCGATCCCGGCCCCGACCTCAACAGAAGTGCACGAGGTCTGCGGTCATCAGGGTCACAAGCAGCAGGGTATAGACGCCCAGCTCTAGGAGCGGGCCCGGGCCCCTGCGGGAGAGAGAAAAGTCTCAGAATCCCAGCCCTGGCCTCGCTCTCGCTGCTGCTTTCTGTGGGGGTACAGAACCCCTGGGAGTCCGGAGAACGCTCGGAACCCCCTCCTCAAGTAAGTGTAGTCTGACATGCACACATTTGCATAAGAATTTAGAGACTCACACTGAAGCCACCCATGGGCAGATTCAGGATGGCTCCCCATTACCCGCTTGCACAGCCCCCTGAACTTCGCCTTTGTCATTGTAACCATGATCTACATGATTTTCTGCTGCGGTCTGTCCCTTCGGTAGTCTGTAATTTACAAGCCTCCCACCCCATAGTTTAAAAACAGAACCCCAGACCCGCCGCACGTACTAAGGAAGGTTCACAGCCCGCTGCGCTCGCTTCGCCGCCCCGCGTCTAGCTAGCCCAGCGTCCGCCGCGCCTTGGCCAAGGCTTCAACAGACCACACCAAAATGCCATCTCAAATGGAACATGCCATGGAAACCATGACGTTTACATTTCACAAATTTGCTGGGGATAAAGGCTACTTTACAAAGGAGGACCTGAGAGTACTCATGGAAAAGGAGTTCCCCGGATTTTTGGAAAATCAAAAAGACCCTCTGGCCGTGGACAAAATAATGAAGGACCTGGACCAGTGCAGAGACGGCAAAGTGGGCTTCCAGAGCTTCTTTTCCCTAACTGCGGGCCTCACCATTGCATGTAATGACTATTTTGTAGTACACATGAAGCAGAAGGGAAAGAAGTAGGCAGAAACAAGCAATTCCCCCGGCCCTGGTAAGAGTTGTCCCAAAGGGTCATTTAAGGAATCTGCCCCACAGCTTCCTCCATATAAGGATTTCATGAGCAGATCAGGACCCTTAGCAAGTGTACAAATAAAATCTAACTTCCATTTGACGAGCAGAGAAAGAAAAGTTAAATGCCAGACAAGCTTTTGATTTTTGTATTGTTTGCATCCCCTTGCCCTCAATAAATAAATTGTTTTTTAGTTCTGGGAAAAAAAGAAAGAAAGAAAAGAAGAAAAAAAAAAGAACAGAACCCCAGATATTGAAACACCTTGTCGATGTTCCAATGTCTCCGGGGCTGGAGATCCCACCTGAGGATGGGGGGGGGGCGGAAGAGCCGACAAGTTGACTTGGTACAGGGCTTCAAATTCAGCCAGGGTGTAGCAGGAGCCCCCTGCAGGCTTCAGGTGGCAGCAGTAGGCTTCCGCTGGAGAATCAGAAACAAGGGCAAAGTAAACCAGGGTAGTGGTGGCCATCGGCATCGCGGATGGTCTGGCACAATTGAGGGTGGTGGAGCACAGCTGAAGAGAAAGGTGGGGGGCTGGAGACAAGCAGGAGGAGTCTTTCCACAGCCCACTTCACGCCCTCTGGACAGTGAAAGAGATCAGCCCCTACCAGAAGATGAGGCGCCCTTCCACCCATCCGCATCAGTTTCAGTTCCCAGGAGTCCTCCATAGCACAAGAAGCAAGTGGGCCACAGGAGGAAGTGCTGTACCTGAGAGAGAGGTTGGCTGGCAAGGTTGGCCCAGCCAAGGAGCAACAGTAGCCCCACAGACAGGCCTGTCAGCAAGGGGCCGGGCCTTCCCTGGACGCCCATGAGAGTTCACCACCACCTCTGTCCAGGTCCGGGGAACTCTAACATCTCTCTTTCTAGGCCATGAGTGCAGACAACAAGGAAATAAAAATCAAAGCCCCAAGGCCCTTGGGCACCATGAATACAAGCCTGAAGCTTCTCTATCACAGGCTTCTGGAGAGAGGTGGCAGGGACTGGGTTTCTATCTCCTGCTGGAAAACGTGGGACCTGCATTGCCAAACTGCTGAAGGAGAAAAGGCTCGAAGAACTAGAAGACAAAATGAGGGATGAGCAAGCAGCTGAGCCGTTAGCGTGAAGAACAAACAGGCGTTTAGAGCCAAATGTGTTTCTACCCGTTCTCCAACTTCCAGACTGCCATGGAAGCTCTGGGAATTCTGACTCTTCTATTTCAGGTTCCAGAGACCTCAGTTCCAGCATGTGGTGCTCCCCTCCCCAACCTCTGCTACATGGCAACCAGCAAGACTAGCTGAAAACTGAGGGTGAGTGCTTTCATTAGCTTTTCCCCTGAGCCGCATCTGCCCCGGCTACCAGCCAGAACACAAAAGCTCTCTGTCTGATTAGAGTATACTTAGCTAATAGCAAACCCCTTCTCAAAGAGAAGTTCTATGGGGATCATCAGGCCTCTCTTACCCCTCATACCTCATAGCTGCCCGAGGCAGGGAATTTTTCCAGAAGGCCCAAGGCCACCAGCCAGCAGAATTAAGTGTTATTCCAGTGTCTACCCAGGCCTGACAACATCGTGCTCCCAGAACAGCACTGACAACACTCATAACCACAGGGGCCCACAGAAGGTGCCTCGAGACTGAAATAGAAGCACTCATGGCCTAAAAAGGAAATGCAAATTTCATCTGCAACACCGAGGACAAAGGCAGTTCCTGCAGAAATGTCACTGCTACCTGGGAGCCCAAGTCTGAAGGAATTAGGCAGGGATCCCAGTGAAGGCTCTGATTTTTCAGGTCAGGCCCTAGGATCTCCCAGGTCCAAAGGTGAGGCTCCCCCGCCGAGAGAACCTGGCCCGTCACTGCAGGGAGAACTATTTTTAGAACACTTGGAGAGTTTTCAGAGCTTTGACAGGTTGAAGATTGTCTGTTCATGGAGGGAGCTTCTGGGAGAAGCTGCCTCTGACTCTGAGGCTAGCTGGATTGACCTTTCTTCCCACTCCCATAGTCCCCTGAGCCTTCCCACCCTGGATTCAGTGCACCGTGAGACCACTGCCTGGTTTCTCGTCTGTCTTCCTCTTTTCCACAGACTGTAGGCTCCCAGAGAGCCAGGCTTATGTTCTTCTTGCACCCCCAACAGAGCACACTGAACTGGGGGCCGCGATGCTGAAGGCAGCTTCGCACATCGCTTGCTCTCTGCACTGGGCATGTCAGCTCCAGAGGAATCCATCTGGGCCAGGCCCAACTCAACCCGCGGAATTCGCCTCCGTGATCCCCCGCCCCGGGCCTCCTCGGCGCCAGAGGGCGCTGTAAATGCTCCGTGGGGGCCCCCCGCGGCCGCAGTCGCCAGCCGCTTCCGCGCGATGGGCTCCGAGGCGGCGCAGCTGCTGGAGGCTGTCGACTTCGCGGCTCGCAAGCACCGGCAGCAGCGGCGGAAGGACCCCGAGGGGACCCCCTACATCAACCACCCCATCGGTGGGCGCGTCGGCCGCGGAGCACCGGCTGTGGCGCCTGGGGGGTGGGGAGTGGGAAAGAGCCGTGGGGGGGCGTCCACCTCGTTGAGCATCTATTTTGTCCCAAGCTTAGTGCAATATTTAAACCTCATAACAATTGGAGCGGTAGTCATGATCGTTCCCTTTGTCGGTCTACGCTGAGAGGGTAAGGGACTTAACCAAGATCACCCAGCTAGTAAGAGGCCACGAGGGGCCACATCTGGCTCTCCGAAACCCACAACACACCGCCCTGGGGCTCCCCCGGAGCTGACTTCCTGCTTTGCCCCTCCCCGTCAGGTGTGGCTCGGATCCTGACCCACGAGGCGGGAATCACTGACATTGCGGTGTTACAGGTAACTTCCCCACTTCTCTGCCCGGAGTGTGGATAGGGATCAGGGGCCCCATTCAGCAGTGGGCCTCCCTTGGCTGGCATCTCAGGGCTGAATGGGAAGTTGTCCCCAGGCAGCCCTGCTCCATGACACGGTGGAGGACACAGACACCACCCTGGATGAGGTGGAGCTACACTTTGGGGCACAGGTAAGGTGCCTGGTGGAGGAGGTAACAGATGACAAGACTCTGCCCAAGCTGGAGAGAAAGCGGCTGCAGGTGGAGCAGGCGCCCCACAGCAGCCCCGGGGCCAAACTGGTGAAGCTGGCAGACAAGCTGCACAATCTGAGGGACCTGAATCGCTGCACCCCAGAGGGTACGCTTTCCTATGGGCTCTAAGGGAAAGGGGAGGGGGATGCCACCTTCTGAAGGCACATGTTGGTCAGTTCCCCCTGAAAAACCCTGGGCATTCTTAATTCCCAAATTAATCCTACTAGACTGCTCTTGATCTGCTTTCATAAGGTCAAAATACAATAGCTGAGCCACTGGCAAGTTTATGGCACAGCTCATCCCATCAGGAACTCGCGGCCTTGAACCAAGCTTGCCAGGAAGCAGGCAAAAGGCAGTGCCGTCTTTGACATCAGGCTAGCAGGTTTCTGTCGATTCTTACATAGGATGGTCAGAACATCGAGTCCAGGAATACTTCGAATGGGCAGCGCAGGTGGTGAAGGGGCTTCAGGGAACAAACCAGCAACTGGAAGAGGCTCTAAAACGTCTGTTCCAGGAGCGGGGACTGACACTCTGAGCAGTGCTTGGAGCTGTCCAGCAGAACAACTCCAGCCTCGTCCAGGCCGGACAGGATTCACACACCTTTTCTGTGCCTCCCGTGCTCCCTCCATCCTTCCCAGATATCAGAGGCCAAAAAAGACTTGCATTTTTTCTCAATCTGAAGGTCTCCTGCTAACTAAGCTGAGCCCCCTGAGTGTGGGAATCAGATGTATCCATCCATTTCTGATGCACTCACTGCCTCTCCCGAAGTCTTGGGTCTGTTTGCTGTTTTGCATGGTGGGATTTCTGGCCCCTCAGGGACTTGAGATGATATAAGTACTAGTTCCTAAGTCATTATGGACAATAAAAAGAACTCTGGGTAAAGGTGTAAGCTGCTGCTGTTCTTTCTCCAGCCTCCTGGGTCGGGGACTGGTAGGCTGCATACCTGTCCTTCAGCAAAGCAGGGTTCTAATTGTGTGTCCCTGCCTCACCTCCCTCAGGTTGGGGGTTTAGCCCCTCCGAGCCTGGCTTCCTTATCAATGAGATGGGTTGTGTAATTATCAGGGTAGATTGTGATGTGCCTGATGGAGCCTGACACATGGGTGCTTGTAGGGCTATTGGCACCACGGGGTGGTGGGGTGTCCCTTATGCTGTGCTGAAGAACTGGTGAAGGGCAGCTGGACTTCGGGGGCCATGCCACCTATGAGCGGAGACATGCAGAAGCACCTATTTATTAGGTACAAGCAGGGGGAAGGATAGTAAGTGAAGTTATCATCTATAGGCTTAGTGATAGGGCATACATAATCACGTGAGTCACAAGTGAGGGGGCCACCCCATTATGTCACCTGGGCAGAGAGGTGGGCTGTGTGCAGTAGGGGGCCATGCCGTGCACAGTAGTAGAGGGTCGTGTACAGAAAAGAGGTCCACACCCATTAGGTCACCGAGACAAGGAGGTGGGCTGTGTGCAACAGGTATCGTGCACAACACCTGTTTTTATCTGGAGGCTGGAGACTTCAAAGGATTTCTTTTTTTTCTTTTTTTTTTTTTTGAGATGGAGTTTCACTGTTGTTACCCAGGCTGGAGTGCAATGGCACGATCTCAGCTCACCGCAACCTCCGCCTCCTGGGTTCAGGCAGTTCTCCTGCCTCAGCCTCCTGAGTAGCTGGGATTACAGGCACGCATCACCATGCCCAGCTAATTTTTTGTGTTTTTAGTAGAGACGGGGTTTCACCATGTTGACCAGGATGGTCTCGATCTCTTAACCTCGTGATCCACCCGCCTCGGCCTCCCAAAGTGCTGGGATTACAGGCATGAGCCACTGCGCCCGGCCAGGATTTCTATTAGAAGGATGTTGTAAGCCAATGCAGTGGGAGCTGACAGACTTGTGTTAAGATATTTGTGGAT